ATAAATGCCACTAGGGACCGACACATGTCGATAGACAAAAAATTCATTATTTTGCATAAAAACTGTTTTGCGCGGGACTACTTTATTTAATCTGTATCGATGCTAGAGTCCCAAATTTTTTACCAAATTATAAAGGAGAAAATTATCTGTTATCTAGCGTTTTTATAATTTTGATAACACAACTCTGAAGCTATTTATTAAACATTTAAAAAACCAAAAAAATAGGAATATTTAATAGTAAATATAAAGTACTACAAATTATGTTAACAAAAAAATAAAAACGCTAGATCACAGATAATTTTGTCCTCTATAATTTGGTAAAAAATTTGGAACTCTAGCATCAATACAGATCAAATAAAGTAGTCCCGCGCAAAACATGTTTAAAACCGTTTTTCATTCTCTGTATGGCGTCCTCTTAAACTTTAATACTAAATTTTGATTAAAATAAACAGGTGGTATATTGTATTATAATAATTTCAATTAATGAAATACATAATTGTCTGTTATCTATAATAAAATTGGTCAATTTTTTATTATTCAAGTAACTTTTTATTTTGCTTTTTTTAAAAATTTTAATTTGTTTTAATGATATATAGAGTGTTTAGTAAGTAAGGAAACAGTTCTATTGTTACAAATAATGAGAACAATAGAAATTCATTTCCTTATTAACTGAACACTCTATATAGTCTATTTATTTAATTTTTTAAAACTAAATCAGGGAAAATTTTCTGATTTTAATAATAATTTTATTATCAATTGCAATACTGTTATAATGTTAATTAACGAATATTTTTAATAAAAAATTCATAAGAAGTTTTATTATCATTTTATTGTATTGAAAAAAATAAATAAAAATATATTTTTTGTTTTTAAAACAAATTTTTAAAAATAAATTATTTATGAATTTAGGATTCAATTTTTTGACTATTAACCGACCACAATCTAACTGATCTAAAATAAAAATTGTCCTCTATATAAAATATTTTAAATCTTAGTTTTAATTTTTGATTAGTATAAAGAATTTTGGGTCATTACAATAATTAAGTCGATTAAAAAATAAATCATTTTCTTTGAGATGTATCAATTATATTAGTATATTCGAGCTACATGAAACATAATAATAATACTTAGGTTTAAAAAAACAGTAATGATATAATCTATTAACACACTAAGAAAAAAATAGAATAAAAAACCTGGACCAAAAAAATGGTATGATATCACATTTATTAAAGTTTTTATTGAAGACTTTATCTTTATTTTCATTTACCTCACTTTTAACATACTACCTGTTTTATCATACGAGTTCAGCATGGTAAGAGTGGGGGATCACCGAGTTGATTGTGAGAGTCATCACGCCAACCGTTTAACCCTTTTTTTTTTTTTTTTTTTTTTTTTTTTTCACGACCGGCTTAGTTGTAAGCCGGCCTGGAACTACCGTTAGGTATTACTTCAGCGCGGCCCACGCCGTCTCTAAAACTCACACCACCACGTTGTGAATCGGCCCGAAATTAATCAAGAGGTGATTCACTACGTGGTGTGGCCTCCCCCGTTAGCCGGATCCTCGAGTGGGATCCGTTGCCCGAGGGGGCAAATAATTCACAAAAACATAAACGCGAATACCTGAGGTGCTAGTTTAGGCCTGCGCCTTAGGTCCTCCTGTGCCGGGCGGCGTGGCTCCCTCTGTCTCAGGCGTTCCGCTTCCTCCTTCTTTAATGAGACGGATTCGGCGAACGCCTGGACAAGCCTCCACGCCTCCCGGCTCCTCAACATCAGGTTCACCATGGACCCGACTCGGAACGTGGACCCTAGTCAAGACTCCAAAGAGTCCCGCTCCTGGGCCCACGCCTCGCACCGGAAGAGGGTGTGCAGAGCGCTGTTAGTCTCTCCCAGGCGATCCGAACAGTGGTCGCACGTCGGCGCGGCTGCTTTACGAATACGGTGTAAGTACTCGTTAAAGCAGCCGTGGCCGGACATCTAGACGATAAGTCATCTCACCGTGAGTCCGGTCCACCCACCTGTCCAGCCGATCGGGCCCTATAAGGGACCTGGTCCACTCGCCTCTCGTCGTTTCCTCTGAGAGGCGAGTCCGCCACCGAAGCATGGTCATCCGCCCGAGCGCCATCTCGGCGGAGCTTATGCCCGACGGCGCATTCCTTGGCGAGCAGATCGACAGGCGGCAGTGACAACAGGTTACCCGCCACCACTCCGGACACCATTCGGTACGCCGAAACTGTCCGGATCGCCGCCGGCTTCTGCACCCTGAGCAGGGCTTCACGGTTTTTGGATGAATAGTCAAACAAAAATTAAAAAAAAAACAAACTGAACTCAAATATCAACATAGTCAACGTTGATTGTCATGGGGAATTAATTCATTGATTTCTTTTATTATATTATTAAACATATGAAAAATAAAAATAATTATTAATCATTTAAAGAATTGATTGGAGGTAAGGTTAATACCATAGTGTTTAACTATTATTATAATTTTTGTAGTATATCCAACAATTATTTCTATTGATACCGAATTTTTTTATTTATTTATCTTTAGTCTTTTTGTTAGAAATTTGACGTTTTACATAATGTGAAAAAAGAATTGATAATACTACTACAGCTGTTTTTTTAGTTTTAGGCAAGAATGTCTCAATTCATTTATTTTAAATGTTTTTAAAGATAATTTTTATTTAATTTAAAGATATATGGTATGATTTTTTGTTAAAATTTTAAATTTTTGTTAAACTTTAAAACGATTATTTGTTTTTGATGATTCTTCGTTAAAAAGTAAATTTATTTGATAATCATCAAGTCTTTTTCATTAAAAATATAAAATGAATAAAGTAAGAAATATTAGGATGATTAATGATATTCTTCTTGAATACACGTTTTTAGTATGTATTTGTGTATTAAATGCCAGTGGTCTGTAATTAAGAAGTGTATTGTAAATATAGCCGCAGTCCGTCAGGTTATACTTTTAGTTTTTTGTTATAGTGATACAATAAAAAATTATGTTTTCATAGTTACTGTAGTATAGTTAATTAATATTTGGACGAGTTATTAATTTTCAATGAACGATGTAATTTTTTTTAAATAATTTTAATAGCTTAAAATTTTTTGAAAAAATTATTACGTTAAAGTTTTATAGTTAATTTGTATTTATTAAACTATTAAGAAATCAAGTTGGATAGAGTTTGAAACTGATATTGCATGGATTAAGTAAACAATTTTTAGTAAGTACTTATGTAATCTTTTACAAGAAGTAGTTCTTCTGAATAAATCAGTGAAATATCCAGTTTACTATACAAAATTATTTTTGAGAACTATTTGTAAGCTTCTTCGTCGAATAAAAAAGTAATCAACAATGTAAAATAATTTATCAAAAATATATGACATTTCTTAAATATTTTTGTAAAAGTATCAAAATATTTATATATACATATTTATTGCAGTGGATAGTTAATATATTAAAATTATAAGAGTTTGAAATGAATATTATCTTGTTAAAGTTAAACGATTTTTAAACACCATGAACGCTAAACATTGAAACTCGTTCGGTGCAAATAATACTTTGTTATAATTGAATTTCTCTTAAACAAATTAAAAAAAAACGACTGAATTTATTTTTATGGATTATTTTAGAATCTTCTTAAGTCGAACCCAAAAAGTAAATAATAAATTTTGAAAATAAAGTTAAGAAAGCTTTTTTAACGTAGTACATTCAATAAGTTTAGATTTTATTTTATAATTTATTATGCGTTTGTCCTGATGATTACTTAAAAAAATTTTAAAATTTCATTATTAATTACTATAAATATATTGTAATAATAAATATTATAATTTTAATGCTATGATATACACAAATTTGTGATAAAAGTACGTTAAACACATTTAAAAAAAATTAATAATATTGTCTAAACAATCTGTTTAAGTCAAACAATAAAGTATTTTACGTTTTCATAGTTACTGATGTACAGTAATATATCAAAAATTTGTTAGTTTTAAAAGGATTCAACAAATTTTTTTACAAATATCAGAAATAGTAAAATATTATAAATATGTTTGCAGTGAATTTTGTTATGGCGAATAATTATGATGTAGTGGCATAGTCAGTAGTTAGTCCTGGTAGGGCCAGGCCTACCCAGATTTTCTCAACGAATAATTTGAATTTTTAATAAAATATTTAAATGTTAAAATGTTTTATTTTTCTTGGTATTATCATTTTTTGTAACAAAATATCCCATCAGAATTTAAATTTCAAAAATTAGATTTAAAACAAAAAAATTCAAATGAACTTTTTAAATTTGATATAAGCTCAAATTTCGACGAAAGTTCTGTGCAACCAGTTATCAATTTTCCTCGTACAATTATTTCTGGTAAAAAACGTTGTTTTCAGTTGGTATAATAAATACTCTTGATTGAAGTATGTAGTTAAGGTGAATGCCTTTTTTGTTATTTTTGTCGTCATTTCCCTCTTACGATTTCACAATCTCAATCGGATAAAGATCTGATATGACTAAAAAACATGAACATACTACTTCGCATAAACATGCTGTTATAAAATACGACTTAAGGCTGTCAACCAAAAAAACTGACTCAGTTTCATCTCAAATAAATCAACAAGTTAAGGACCAAGTTTTAAAAAATAGAGAAACCCTATCAAGTTTAATAGGTGCATTTTATACTGCGCTCGTCAAGACATTGGATTACATGAACATCAAAAAATTAATGTCAAATGTTCACATAAATATATCAAGGATAGATAAAGACCTAAGGTTTCTATAAAAAAATTGTTTTGATCCATAGATTTTTGAAAAAGTTAAGGCAGTTTTATGTAAAAAAAAGGTAGCATAGTGAGGTCGCGGCACAGTATGGACTTGGCATAGTTGGTATACTTTGAAAAAATATCTGTTGGATTGATTAAGTCACCGATTCTAATCATAGATTGTAATATTGGAAGTGATAACAATGTTTGATTACGAGTTTATATATATATAACTATATGCATTTTGATTATTTAAGAATAAGAACAAACTATTATTCTCTATTTCTAGTATTTTTTATTGTCAATTTAATATGTAATTAAAATTAAAAATTTACTCTTTATTATGGCAAGTCTTAGTAATCCTGAAGAAGTTATTTTACACTACAAATATATTTTAAATAAAACAAAAAAGTAATTTTTTTATCCTGTGTTTTTATTTTAAACATAAAATAATTAATAATGAATTTATTAATTAATGTAAATTATTCTTTTTTTTTGTCATTATAGAAAATTATTTCGCAAATTAAATACATTAGAACCTAGTGATTTATTTGGTAAGCTCTTATTTTTTAGGACCTAGTTAATGTTAGTTTGATAATATGTTTAAATTTAAATATATTTAGTAAGAGCATTTTGAACTAAATTTTTTCTTATTAATGGTTTTTATTTCTATGTTATGAATGTTTGGTAATTTTTTATTTTAATGTTATACAAAGGATACATCATTGGTGTATGCTACTTTTGTTGTAACCACCTTTATTGAACTATTAATAATTTAAAAGGTACTATTAAAAACAAACTATAAGGATATAACTTGTATCTCTATTTAAAATTAATGAGTTCAAATATTAAATTATATTTAAGTTTGTAATATTAACTTTTTTTTTCTTTTAAGAAAAATTGGCAATATCGTGCCAAAAAAATGACAAAAATGCATATGCAGCATTTTGCTGGCAAGCTGTTGCAAAATGTGAAGAATCTATGGGTCATAGTTGCGAAGAGGCAATTGCTCATCAAAAAGCTGCTCGTCAATATTTCCATGAGTTCAAAAAAACAGAATCATCTGGATTTATTTCACCTTACAATGAATATTTACATGTAAAAATTTATATATATATTAAGAAAATTATTATTTTATTAAGTAATAAACTTTTTTTTTATATTTTAGGCAGCATTAAGTGAAATGTGTCGTGTTGAAGATAGTTTCCAAGGAAACTCATTTGAAAATATTTTGAAAACGTCAGCTCGCTTAGAAACAGCTGATACTTTAGTTAAACTTGGTAAATTAGATGAAGCCTTGTTCATTGCTAGTAGTTTAAGTGATATTCCACAAGAAAATCACGCACTTAAATTAATAGTTTTAGAACAAATAGCATCTATTCAAATACTCTCAGGTGATACATTTTTTTAAAAATGTTTTATGATACAAAAGTTTTTATAACAGAAATGTATAACTATTCAATAAGGAATAAAAAATATATTTATATGAAAATTTGTTGCATAAAAATAAACTATTTAACACTATTAAGTGGAATATTAAAATTTCTGGATTTTATAACATATTATTTTTAAAATAAAAAATTTTTAATTTTAAAACAAAATATCAACAATTTTATTAAATCTTTATATTTTGGCTGTATTTCTATTATTTGTTAATTATATATATATATATAAAAAAACAAAGTGACATATAACAACATTTACTAAAAAAACAAGAAATAACTATATTTTTACAAATTAAAAAATTTTAAATCCACAAATAACTATTTAAGAATGTTTATCGGAAGGTTAATATCTAAATAATAGTAAAAGTTGATAGTTGACCCAGTGAAATTTATTTGATCTAGATGTAAACATTCTCCATAAATTTATTAAAAAAATTAATACTTCTTAAAATTTTATAAGACTTTTTAAAATTATATTTATTCATTTTATTGATAATCCATTGAAATTCATTTTTAACCTTAATTGTAGTCATGAACAATGTATAATAAGCAAAAAGATAATGATGATACATGTGCACAAAGTTGAGTAGTCTCCAAAAATAAAATTAGCCTTCCCCAAAAATTAATATTGGTATTGTATTAAAATAGTAATTATTATTATCTAGGTGATTATGAAGGTGCTCTTTTAACCTTTACTGATATAGCAAATGTTGCATCCAATATTCACTCGGATACCTTAGGTGTTCACTGTGATATTTTATCAAGGTATTCTATGATTATTTGTTATATTTACTAAAATAAAATGAGAAAAATTCTATTTCAGATGTGAAATATCAAGAGTTTTTTTACTACTTATATTAAAACCTACTCGCCAAAAAATGCCTAGTGAATTAACATTAGTATTAGAAAAATATATGTGGATAAATGGTGATTTTGATTCTCCTGGTTAGTTTGTGTTTTTAATTATACATATCAATTTATATTGTACTTTAATATACTTTTGAATTACAGTTGAATTTATATCAGATGAATTATTTCGTCTTCTACGTTCACTAATTAAAGCTTATCAACTAGGAGAGACATCTTGTTTGTATACAATTGAATCTGATCTAACACCACATTTAACATTAGAACAAAGAAAATTATTGTCAGTTTTAATCAATACTCTAACTTAATATAATTAGGTTTTGACCATACATATAAGTTAAAGTTTTATGAATTAAATAAATTTAAAATAACTATAATTTATATATTTGTATATTTTATATTATGTAAATTATATTATATTATTATTTAATATTTTTTAAACTTATTTATTTTATGAATAAAAACCAAATTTAAATACAATGTTAATTTGATCGACAGAACTTATAAATAATTAAATATTAAATATAATTAACATCAATAATTGATATACTAGATAAATATCACAACAAAATAATAACATAAAAATGCCGAACAATAAGACTTAAGTTATAGATAAAATATTAGAAACAAAATGTTTAAAATATAAAATGAATTAGACGCAAAAAGATCAATAATTATTAAATTACAAGAACACATTTAACGATTTGAAGGAGCATTAATTACATAATCCAATTGATGATTTAATATATAAAACGTTGTTTTTAATCTTGTTTTACAGCTAGCAGCATGAAAATTTAATTTTGTTAAAAAAATTAGTATTTATTGTTATATTGATAGTGATTAAAATCAATGTCGTAAACACTTCGATGCATATTTGAAACAAATTAAAAATAATTTATCAAGAAATTTTATTTGAATGAGTGGTTATTTATAAAGGATAAACCGTTGAAACTTCTTTATATTTTTAATCGTGTAATACACAAAAAACCTTAAATTTAATGTGTTATTAAATAATGCAGATATTCGTGTTGCTATGCAAGACACTCCAAAATCAGTCATTTTCACCAAAAAATGTATAATTTTTGGCTTTAATGCCCTATAGCTCTTATAAATCGAGTTATCGGATAATATATTACGGGCAATTTCAAATAGTAAATCTATCATTGGATGGTTTTTTTAATTTAAAGTATACTTCAATAGCTTTAATTTTATATAGTTTAAAAGTCTTCAGACGTTCCGGAAAATTTACATTTATACTGTTGAAAAAAATGATTTGTTTACGTGGGTGGTCGATCTTATTCAAACCCTCCCTGTACTTAGATTTTTAATTTAATTATCATAAAAATCATATTAAAATAATGGTAAACAGCGTGAATCAAAAACTGACATAACTTTCATTTTTAATATAACTAAAAGCTAATGTAATATACTTTATTAAGGGAAAAAAAATTCGGTCATTATTTTGCTTTCACGGTGAAAATGACTACTGTATGCTATTTTTATGTTAAAATTCTCGATTTTATATTTTACATTATTAATTATATAGTTCTATAACTTTTTAAAAAATGTATGGATCAATATAATTTTTTTATGACAAATACTATTTATTTCATTCAACATACTTTTTTTTTAATGGGGCCATTTTCCTTTATACAGGGGGCGTTCAATACTTAAAAATACGTGTAGAAAGTAGAATTTTTTCAATCTATTTTTAATTAAATTATATTAATTGATTAATCATACGTAACCTAATAAACATAAATATTTGTTATATAAATTATAAAAATTTAGTTATTTCATATGCGAAACTTCAATTGTAGATTTAAAATCGGAGCAACAATAAGTTTAGAAATGTATATTTTGGTCTCGGATGACAATCCTTGCAGACCAGTAAATTTATTTAAACAATTTTTTTTTAAGTATTTCATCAAGACCTTCAGCTTATATATACGTTTGCCATAAAAGTAATAGCTACTTTATAATTTTTTATAATTTCTCCGTAAAAATTACAATACTAAAATATTAAATATTAAGTTCATACTATATTTAATTGGTATAATAAATATTTATACATATATTACACATATAAATCATGTAATCGGGGTATAAATAAGGAAATAGGAGATCATGTTGCATTTGGTATAATCGACCAATTTCTTAAAATTAAACAATATCTACAGATTTGTACCGAAGCGTTTTTTATGATGGTGATTTTAATCACTGTCAGGTATCATCTATTATGGTCCCAACTATGCTACGTCCATACTGTGCAGAATTTTTGTTTAGTCATCTCTCTCCCTTATACTACCACTTTATGTTTAAGGAGACATCCATTCGCTAACATTTTTGACTATATGTAAAGTTGTAATGTATAAATTTGTCAACCACAAAGTCTCGGACACATCCGACCAAAATATTTAAAAGTAAAATTATAAAACAAATAAAATCTAATTACAAATCAAAATTTAATTTCACTTGCCATAATAAAAAATAATCGGATATAAACATAAATTACAGAATTAATTTTGAATAAATTATCTACAAAATTTATTTTATAGAATAATAATAATAAATTTTATACATATTTATTTAAATTTTACTTCAAAAACTCTAATCTGGTAATTATACATTTTAGCTTCGATGCGAAGCTGAGAAGGTATTAATTTTACTATGATGCGTTTTTTTTTTTTTTTTTTTTTTT